AAGTTTGTGTTCATGGCCACACACAGCCCAAACCAAAATATTTGTTCATTAAGATCAGAAAAGGTTGAAGTTATTGCTTGATTAATCCCCGTCGCCCTTGCTGAAGAATATTGTGTATCCAGAAGTGTTGCTTTGACGAATTACATGTTTCAAAATCAAGTGTTATGTATACCTTGCTAATACTCCAGTCGAGCGGGACAAACTTTTCTATTACACATCAAACACCCTTCTTGAACTGCTTGCCGGTCAGTCCGAATTTTCGCGATCTAGCGAAAAAATTCCATGCTCCCCATGGGCGAAAAAAATGATGGCCGCTACAGAAGTGATAGGGAAGAGGCCCACATGATAAAGGTCTACAATGAGAATCAGAAGCTCATGTGGCTCCGTTTTATGGCTAGAGCCCCCAGTGCACGCGATAGCGTGGGGACTTGACCTGACCGCCTGGTTCTAAGTAAGCCAACTTCAAGTATATGCGCTGTCAGGTAAGATATTTCGTATTATTTATGCTACCGTCGATATCCATTCTCAAATGAACATTCCGAATCCGAGGTAAATGATGGCTATCTCCCGACTTCATCTTTGCTTGATCTTTTTCCCATCAGTATTAAGGAGCTACAGTAGCGCTCGCGTCTTCGGCCAAAGTATTATACTTCAGTCGTATTTTCGGTCGCAACTCCTTTCCTACTTGTCCTGATCGTGCGAAATTTCGATATGTGTAGCATGGGTGTATTGTGAATATTTACCACTGTTAACATACAGTATGATCATGTTCCAACAGGCGGAGGTGGTGTAGTGGCAAGTGGCGCACTATATCACACGACGGTCAGGGATTCGGGTCCCGGATCGATGCCCTTTAGGCCAACCAAGCCTTCCATCCCCTCGAGGTTGGTGAATTGGTACCAGGCTCGTCTGGGAGGATAAAAGCACTGACTTGTACATCGGCTGGCCACTGCAAGTCATTGTATAGGCCTTATACGCACTCATTACGCCACTACGATTCTGAATGGAAGTCGAGTGTGGGGGTGCATCCCACAGACGGGATTGATTAACACCAAAAACTTTATTTTATCCCTCACGATCATGTTCCAGATATCCCAAGAGCTTGAACTCAAAATCAACTGGAAATACAGATATGGTGATGGACCTTTTGACACTTCTTTCCTTTTTGCATGTCTTAAGTGGACCAGCTCTAATGTCAAACACAGTAGAGGAGAAAAACGCACCTAATAGGCGAATAACTGCAGATGTTACTAACTTTGCTTGCGGCGAATTCCGCTACCGCTCCCATTAGTTACGTGGACACAGCTGCTTTGCAGTCAATTAGTGTTATATATAGTGTGAAATATGCTTTCGATAAATTACAATTTCGCGCGATTTACAACACCAAGAACAAAGGTTATGAAAGCAAAAGAGTAAAGCATTTGGTTGAAGACCTAGGAGCACCACTGTACATCTAAACTAATCCCAGACCTCCTGCAACCTGCTCTTTTCGACTACTGAACCTTCGGCCACTTCTCTCTCATCTCAACTTTAACAACTTCTCTAAGGTCAGCTCATTTTTTTTGGCAGGAGCAACTTGAAAAGCTATCCCATCTTTGATGGAAGGTGGAATAGCTTTCCATGTTGCTTCGAAGGAATAATTGTAAAGTACTATTCATGATCATGTATGACAAATTGACAAACTTTACGAATCACATAATAATTCTCGTTGATATTGCACTAGAAAACGAACGCCTTCCTTAAGGTAGTACCTGTAATGTTTGCACACATGCGAATCGAATGTTCTTCCTCAATTGAGCCTCCTTTACGCCGCAACTCTCGTTCTCTGCCTCAGCAACAATACTCTGACTTGAAAAAACGACTTTTCTTCCTTCAACATGAACTGTACTACAAAAACTCTTCATAATTGCAATAAATTCAAGATATGTTTGAAAAGCGATCTTATCTTGACGTTGACAAAAAAAATTCACCAACGTTTCTCAAAGCAACTTGGAAGAAGTCCAAAAGCATTTACACAATTTGCTTTAGGTATCGCTACTTGGCGAGTTCGCCAAACCTGAAGTATTTCCTAGTGTAAGAATAGCTTGGATGAAGTAAAAGAAAACTCTCCAAATTGTTATTTCCGATTCATGCAGTGAAGGTTACCCTGGCAGTGTTGCTTCAAGAATCATAGTGCGAAAATAGATTTGGCTGCTTGCGAATATTGAATAAACTATTCAAAGGCTGACTAAAGTGCGAACAGCGGAACATGTTGGTATTATGGTGATGGAAGTTTAATAAGACTCTGAGTTTTTACTATTAAGGATGAACTTTCAGCTTCTCTTCGCTTTGAAAAGATTTTTCAATACAAGTAAGTCTATATAACAAAACATTACAAAAATTGTCTTATTGTTCACATGCCTCAAATTATCAATCTCACGCTGCTTTTGAAACAGTCGATTTCGAAGTAGTTCAGCGGCTGGTAATGTGTACATGGTCTCTCCGTTACTGAAAACATAACTATTGAAAATCCGACTACAAATCCTCCTAAGACAACCATTACTCTATAACGTCTGTTTGTTGCATCAGCGCAAACTTCAACCTAAACCATCTTAATAACCAGTCCTGTGCATATGACCTTTTATATGTAATGGTTTCGAGAGGTATGCATTCACTTCCCCCTAAGGCAAACCTAGAAGTAATCAGAACATACTTAATGCTTTCGGACATTCGCGCGTAACTCGGTACCATTGCAGACGCTTCTGCGATCATTCGATCAAGAGTTTCATACTGTTCCGCGAGTACAGGAGGATTTCGCTGTTCCATCATCTGCTCTCGCCGGCTCAAATCCATCATACACGATCCACAAATACGTAGACACTCCTGGGCGTCCTACAAGAACTACGTTTGAGTCGCTACAACACAATCCTATCATGAGTTCGCTGATTGGTTTGTGCTTGATGTGAATAGAATTCTTTTACAACTGCTATAATGTTTTCTTTCATTTGTTCAAAGATCGACGGTTCACAGTTGGAGCGGAATAACAAAATTACATGATTGAACGCCGTTCTAGTGCGACAACGACATGCAGAACTGGAACTGTGAAACGCTCTGATGATTACTTCCCCCAAGGCATCAGAGCAAGTGGGATGAATTTTTACCTAAAGACTTGTACGGAACAAAAAAAAAAAGATCAATTCAGCACCAGGTGCAAAAACTTAGGGGTTGAAGGTTCCCTCCATTATTGAACCAAACGAAAGCAGAAATGAAGAATACTTCGTTACAAGCAGTTAAACCAATGCAACCAAGACCCGCAGCGCCCATTGACGGACACTCGCTTAGAAGACACCACCATACACCAGCACGTCACTACAACAGTCCGTGCACATAGCAATAGTGACGGGTTATCGAGGCGACGTTGGTCTACCTGCTGGAGTAGTGAGCCGAGACTGATTTCACTGCCGTCCGTCGTCTGGATCTTGGCAACGGCTCCTTCAATGAACGAGATCACCTTTCCAGTAGTCTTCTGTGTCATTTCCAGCAGTCGACGACTGTGTGACGGAGACGCTTCTGCTTCGACTGTGGTGATGTTGTTGCTAAGCATTTCAGCGGCCAATGCCGGGTTCGTCAATTTTCCTGAGAAAAGTTAAGTTAAGAAATTGCAAACTGAAAAGATCACTGATCCTACAAAGAAATCTAAACCGCTGACTCGCTGAGAGAAACGAAAGAAAGTGGCTGCACTGTTGACACATAACTCGTCCACAAAGACGGCAGTGATGCTTTCGGCGAGCAATGCCAAATTTAGCTGCACATCGAGTGCAGTGCAACGACTCCGAATCAGCAGACCATGGGACAACCTCACGTTCAAATTCTTAACACAAGCTTGTTCTGAGAATGAGCTGATTGAATGATTTAAAAAGTCCTTCGCACCTTTCCTTTTCGAAGGATCACAAGGGCATTCATTGATAAGTCTATCGAGACGTATTATGAGCATATTCGTTCTAACGGCACTCTCATTTACTGAGGAGTCGCGAATCTTACGAAAGTATTCTGTGTGTGACCTTGTGACCCCTAAATAAGAAAGCATAACAGAACTTTAGTAACAGGAAGATACACCTATGAAAAGACCTGAAAAACTAATAAAGTCACGATGGCAGGATGGTTTTTGAATTGTAAGGTCGCCTCTGCAATATTATCAAAAAAAAAACAATCGTTACTTCTCTACCTATTTCCGCTCTAACAGGTTGTGGAATCATAACAATAGTGCGGGTGGGCCTGGCTTTTTCTTGAACGGCTGAGGCCATGCTTGCTAAATCGGCAACACTACTCGAAACACCTATGTTCACCTGAAAAAAAAAACTGGCACTTGAGAGATTGTTCAACGAGATCAGAAACTAAAGTAAAGTAGCAACTTGCGACAGTTCCGCACTCATCTTCGCATCGAGAATCTTCATGCTCCTTTTCGCTTTGTCGAAAAATCCTGGAAATTCCCCTTCTTTTCAATGAAAACGGTGATGAAGCAAACGATAAACTATAGTAAACTGATAATCACTAGTTTGACCATCACAGGTTATCATGTGATTAGAAACTAATGACTTCCAATGATGTTATATCGCCCTCTGGAAGGTCGAGAGACGGTTTTCTCTTCACATCGTCTGCACGAAAACCTTTCATTGGTTTGGAACCACCGAGTCGCAACGTTCGTTACCATTCTGTCACTGACCGTTTTTAGGACTGTCCCATTTCTCAGGTCAATGTCGTCAGCTTGAGTACGTCCTACCTATCACAAGTTTTTGATTCCCTTCCGTTTCTTGAGGTTTTTCAAGATAGTGCCCCATTTTTTCCATCGTCAATATTTTATTAATTGATTTGATTTATTAACATGCGCAAGCACATGTCATTAAAATTTCCAAAAAAGAGCAATTCAACCATAATTGGAAAACCAAGTAAGCTCTCAAAATATCAGAACAACTCCAACCTGATGAATGAGTAATATAGAATATACTGTGAATAAAGGCAAGGAAAGTGAAAGAGCACAAGTAAAAAGTACAATGGATCAATAATAAAGGTTTCCTCAAGTGATATAATTGTTAACAATTCTTTTGAAGCCCGAAAAACAACACGGAATCAGCAACTTTTTACTCAACTTAGTGTATTCATAACCTGCCCTGAATGTGAAGAAGTTGCACCGCAAAACGGACTTAGGTTGCTGAAGCACAATTTTGAGACTTTGGCCTCTAGTGGAAGAAGGGTTCAGACGAAAAAAGTCACGCAATTCCAGATCAACTAGACCATGAAGTATTTTATAAACCATATGAAGATCATTACGTCTCCTTCTGACACTTAACGATTGTAGAAAATGATTTGTAGAAAAAACCTCGACTCCGGTGTGGACAGATCTCAATATTTTCCATATTTTTCCAATTCACCCCGAATATTTAATCTCCCCCTGATTTTACTCAGTATTGGGCCTGTTTCTGAACAATTCATTGAATTTCCGTACCCAGCGCAGCTCATTCGAAGCGCCTTCTCTATTATTCACAAAGCAACAGCTCATAATCCACATTTTCCCGTGACTTATGAGATCTTGCAGAAGCTCACGCAAACTCCCGGCTTTCAGGAATCAATGAAAAACCGGCTCATTTTTACATTGACGGCTGGCTCCTCTACCACTCCTTACTCAGCTATCAAGATCTAATTTTTTTCTGGTCTGTCGGGTGAACTGGAGATGAAATGTGAACTGTGGTGCGTTACTAAGTGCCGCTCACAAAATATAGGCTCCGCTTGCTAGCGGTGGACCTGTCCATTATTCATGCGTGTTCAGTTGTACCTTGTTCCTTGTTCATTTCCCTTGCTTTTTTTCGGTGTCGAGAGGTCCCATAAATAATCCTAAACTTTCGCGCTGATTATCTCTAGCCATGTGTTACAGGTCTTTCCACTTCTCGATTAAAAAAAAACCTAGGCTATAATTTTTTATATTAAAAGTAAACTACTCGCAACTCCGAGTGCGCACGTTCAACTCGAGCATGCTCCATTAATGTTACCCCATCTCTGTTCGCCCTATTTCAACTGAGACACTCCTAGCCATGCCTGAGGCACCTGTAGTTTTCTAGATAGATAGTCAGATGAATATAATTTATGGTATACATATAATATATTGACCTACCCTATAGTACTTCCATCTTGAACGCACCTTTCTCGTTTCTGAGCCTTGAAAGTTTACGAGTACGTATTCCAAAAAAAGAGAAAAAAGAAAGCTTACCTTTCACATTGTCAATGACAGTATAAGTTAGGTCCTGTCCTCTCTCGGGATGGATAGTATCGACATGATTTTGCAGGCGCGGGAAATCGCCGAGATCTGTCATACAAAATGGACAGATGAACCCCTAAAACTACAAAGTTCACGCCAATCTTATTAGCTGCCTTCGCGATAGCTAACACATAAGTAAACACAACACTACAGATACATTTTACATATAACCACGGGCGAAAATTTATAATCTAAGATATATGGAATTCTACTGAGAGGAATATATAAGCGTAGCAGCAAGGAAAATGCATGGCCATTCCGCTGACGTTTAATATCCCTAACCATTAGAAAGAATAAAATGCTGCTGGAGCGACTTCTGAAAAGTTTCCCAGAAGAGCAGCTAATAGATGCAGCAACTTTCCAGAACACGGCTTTCTAAACTCCTGACTACCAAGCAATTTTAAGTCCGAACGCAATCTTGTTCCCAGTTTTCATTTCACAATGTTATTGAATTTTCATCTCTCAGTTGATATTTCTTCAATAGATTGTCGATAACAATGTCGACAGCTAACAGACATATTTTCCTAGCGATTCCTTCGTAAACACCGTGGCTGAGGTGGAATCAGCGCTGCATCCCTGCCAATTATCTGCAAGGCCTAAGTTTAATGAACTACCGTGATAATAGATGGTTTAATCAACGAGAATTGATTTCGACAGCACTATGCTAGGCATTGAGCCACGCAACTCCGGAACAATGTATAGCTGTTGCAAGTACGGATATGCCACGTTGGAAATGCACAGCCCACCATTTGAGCATATGGCGACAACTTAATTTGTAAGAGTGCAAGGGGGCGGAGATGGTGTATGGACTGGTGGTGCACCATCGATATGACCACACCAACCAGGGCCCCAGCGGTTTCTTGTTACCTTACTCGTCTGGGACGCTAATAAACCTGACTTGTACGTCAGCCACCACAAGTCATCATATAAGCCTCACACGCATTCACTACGACACTACAATTCTGAATGGAAATCGACTGCGGAGGCGCATTCTAAACACACTAAAGCCGTCTTTTCTTTTCAGAATGCGATGGTAATATAAACTTAGGGTTGAATATTAGTAAATATAAATATCAAACTATTCGGACTATTCGGAACTGTTTATGCCGAATAAAAGTTCAACTACCTACGAAGACAGAAGACTAACCTGTCTAACCGCATCCGTCATCGCGATAATTCAGCTCATATTCCTTAAACCTTCAATAATATATGTACGTGTAGACTTGAATCCGGGTGTGTGCCGATTCGTGCGATTCTGGGTGCGCGCGGCAAATTGCGCGGCGGAATTCGTGAAGATTCGAACGACTCTGACGCCTATTATTGGGGCACAAACTTGAAGTAGAATAGTTGGGTATGGTCAGCTGACCCTACTAAGCTACTCTACTTCAAGTTTGTACTCCAATAGTACAAACTCGATCGAATCCTCATGAATTCCGCCGCGCAGTTTGCCGCGCGACCCAGAATCGCACGAGTCGTGCGTCCCCCCTTGAATCCTGCACTAATTGTGATAATTGAATGTGATAATTAGTGATTAATGGCTGTGTGATAATGAGCGAATGCACGCAAGCACATAAAAGTTCATTAATTGACCTTTAATTTATTTTATTATCGAACTAAAACAAAAGCAGACACGTTGTGATGCTGTACCTGGGAAGAAGGCATATCTTGAGAGAGAAACGTCATATGATAGATGTAAAAATGAAGAACATACATGTGATTAAAAAAATGTGGAAAAACTAAAGCAGAGTTTTGTAGAGGAAATGCGCTACCTCCGACAACCGAGATGTTATGAAAGTACGAAAAAAAATACATTAGATTTTTTCTTAAACTGTAGATCACATACTGCACAATGCCATAGTTGAAGAAGAGCATACTCCCAAAAAGATAACTGGGGTGTAAAAGGAAAGCTCAATTGTTTCAAAAGGAGTTCAAGAACAAGTTCAAGACATTGACAATACAAAAGGGATGTTACAGACATACCCATTACGACGCTGGCTTAAGTTTGATATGAGTCACAGTATGATGCAATACCACGAATGAATTTGAGGCTTGTGAATGCTTTCCAAATGGACCACGCATTTGGCTATTTCTTAGGCACTCGATTAACAAGTTCCGATGAAGAGAAGATAATCGACTGCGCCGCTCTCGATAGAACAACACATAACGCTACTAAAGTTTTGACTTTTTTACAATTAAATAGAAGGATAATATCTTTGTATCAATCATCTAAATACATCAACTCATCAAGTATTTTATCGTACTGAAACAGATCAAATATCTGGATGAGCCGAAAATTCTCCTGTGTGGTTTCGACTATTGTCTGAAAAAAGGTAAGTTGGCTTTGAGGTGCTTGGCCTGCACTGAACACTACAAGAACCCACCTGAACAGCAGGTAACAAGAGCATAGTATTTCCGACTTTCTGACCAATATCTCGCACACCAGTTTTGCGATAAAGTTCGAACCAGTCGTTGTATACGCGTTTCCGAGCTTCACGTACGATACGGCAACCTTTTTCGCTAAGACCAGGAGCGGCTGAAACCGCCAGCCAAACGTAACTTCGCCTTCTCAGGCAACCAACAAATTGCCGATGCCAACATGACAGGATGGTAACAGGTTCGTTTGTAGTGACATCTTTTGATTGAAAAGCCTTTGAGGCACTCCAACGGGTGATGCTCCTTTTCCCTCAAAAGCCAGTTCTTCCTCGGTTGCTATCATTTTGTTAGGACGGAAATCAATGTAAAGTTTTGGGCAAGTTGATGCACAAGTTATCGTCTTGCAGTATACGATCTTTTCGCCTAACACCTCTCCTCTGATCCCCTTACGAACACGGTCAGTGATAACAAAACAATCTCGAGAACTCCAACGAATGGGCGAAAGTTGTCGCACCGCTAAATTTGGAGGGAGAGGACGCTGACAGCACTCACACGATATAACAGAGACGAGAAGGTGCCAAAAAATAGGAGTTGAGAAGGATTGCGATCAGTACAGAGATGTGCCCGCAGCAGAGGACCCTGAGTTAAATAAAACCAATTTTTTGTTAATAAGGCAAGCACGGAAATACAGCCAACATTCGACAAACGCCAAACCGATGTGGTTAGGTGAGCGTGCCGAATTGAGGAACACGGCCCCTTGATATGATGTCTGCTTCGAAGGTTCGGTGGTAGATTGCTCGAACGGTACGATCTTTATTGGAATATTTATTGTGATAACAATGACATAGAATACAACTTCACTTCATCACAAAAGTTAAACCAGGTTGTACTGGAAATTGCAGAACTGAAGGACTGTGAAACTGTCGAACTGCGAACTATCAAACTGCAGTTTTGGCTCAAATTAGGGGTTCTAACCCCCCCCCCCCCGCCCCCAAATAAAAAATGGGCCGCTTAAATACTGACTTCGGTAAGCAGTACCAACGTTTTGTTCTTTTAGAGCAACTTACGAGGTTCCAGTGTTTTGAGATTTCGTTCGATTAGTGCTAGAGTGTGGAAGGCATTCGTGGGTTTCTCGTGATCATGACGAAGAGTGGTGACAAAGCTAGTGAAAAAATGCGAGAAGTTGAAGATGTATCTCTGATGACTGTATCGCTGTGCAGGGTCTGAGGAGAAGGGACTGACCCATCAGCCTAGATATTGTACAGGGTGCGCCATAAATATCGTAACAAAAGAATTGGGCAACAGAAACCGCAGTTCACATTGATACATGGTGAAATCATGTGAGTTATTTACTGTGCATCGCACCTACAAAAGGAACACACGGTGAACTTATATGATCGTCTCCTGTACTAATTCTAGCTCCAGGACGCTTCAGGTCCTCATCGACGGTGACACGCTGAGTTTCTTGAGAAACTTCAGCTCGGGTTTTTTTCAATGATTTTTTCAGGAGCAGCAACAGTGGTGATTTTGAAGCGCAGCTTTTCCTCTCCGGGATGGACTACATCCAGCGCACCATCACATTGTGGTCCGGGAAACTCGCAGGAGGATTAGAAGCTGCGATGAGGTGGCGAACATTTCCTCAGCACCAGTCTTGATTTTTTCCCATCCGTGAACAAAAGCGCCGTAGTTTTCAAATCATACTAGTAGAAAAATCTTTGGCTCTCAGCACCCTATCAGAAAAAGCCCTCCTTAGAGGTTAGGATTAAATTTTTTCCTCCACACTGACACCCTTTAGCCAGAAAAGTGTGTCTAAGCGCGTGCCGCGCGCAAGCAGCACACGGCATTTGTTTTTTCTCTCCAACTTCTTGTCGTCAAAAAGCTTTCGAATCCTATCTAGATACATTTCTATTTACTTGGGGCAGGCTCTTCTCATCGGAGTACAACATACAAATAAATCAGCAGTCATTTTTCTCGTGTTTCTGCTGATTCTGCAGCGTGCTTCTTCCCAATTTGTATTTGGAAAAAAATGTGAGACAAGACGACCGTTTTGAGGTTTGTCGTTGATCTGCCTACGATCGCGATTCAAGAGACGTCTTGTGAGATATATTGGAATGAGGAGCGATCCCGGAGAAGGACTCACCAAATGCGCGCAAAGACGGAACGGTTGTTGGATGTCTGCGAGGCTCCACTGTTTTACGAAACCTGACGAATTGAGAGCTTTAAAGCCGATATGTGGGCTAGGGGTATATCATAAATATAAGGGAAGGTGCAGATTTGGAGAAACCCTCCAAGCAAGGAAGTTACGCACGTCTAAAAAGTTGTTACGATATTTATGGCGCACCCTGAAGTTTCAATAAAGGATACAGGCACTGATGATTTCCGAAAAGGGTAATCGTGAACATTGTTCACCGAAAGAGCGCCACCAACACAACAAACAGTTTCATGCGAAGATTCATCCATAGTATAAGATTCTTACACTTGAACGGTGACACCGCATGTTCGTCTTCAGATATCAGCGGAGAAACGATTATGGGATGAAGTCTTTAGGCGTCAATCAATCCCGTCTGAGAAATGTGCATCGCATTTCAATTGCATTCAGAATCGTAATGGATTGATGTGTATAGTATGGCCTACAAATCGGTTCTTGAGTCTGGTGCCAGTTAGCCGACCTTGAAGAAATGGAAAGCCTGGTTGTTTTAGGATGATATCGTTACTAAATTCGAACCCGTTACCAAGCGTGTGTGATAAAGCGCCTCATGCCATTACACAATATCAATGGGTACATTGAGATGGTATAGTGGCAAATGGCAAGCTATTTATGTACAATGCTTGTTGGTCTATTCGATTAGACAGACTGAAGATGTGGGACGTCAAAGCGGTGATGGTGGTTACTTAATTTTTATGGCATGTAATGCTAATGCTTACAGTAAAAACCGTAAAATACTGTTCCGAAAACAGCATTTCACGGTAATCATTTCGCGGTACGGTAGCACGAAATATTTCGCTAGAACCCTATACTATTGATTACGTAGAACAGTACCGATAACCTTTTGATATCAATATCAAGGTAATGGAAGTGAGGTTTATAAAAAAAAAACAATGATGCTCGACGAAAACACGAGACATCTTGCTGTGGTGTAGACGTAGCAAGATTTCCATAACAGTAGCAGTTTGATTATGAATTTTCGAAGGAAAATCCCAATTGAGATGAAACATAGTTGAATCAATAGACGAACCTTGATCAAAAAGCAGCACGGCGTTCAAGGCACAAAATTCCACATCAGACATTTTATTGTAGTACATAGGCGCCGACAGCTCCAAGAGAAAGTCTTTCAGTGACTGAACGAAAAGCCTGAAGAAGTTCAAAAATTGAGTAAATAAAACGGAAATGAAGTCATGGCTAATATAATCATACTTGTTTAATGTGTCACGATCAACACTCCCACTTGTCACTTTATTAGCTCCTGTTGTTATTGACTCTGGATCATTCAAATCAGAGTACGTTCCATCGCTATGGAATATTCTTAAGAAGAAGTGAACGAGCCAAAGAACAATGATCGTGAAGGATGTAAAAGAAAGCTATCGTACTAACCTGTTAGTTTGTAATCCTCCAGCGCACATGGTGATGTAGTACTTTTCAAGAATGGCGAATGGCACAGAGAAACGTTTAATTAGAGCAGCCTGGTGGGAAGTAACTAATAGATTCTGTATTCGGAACATTGATATGAACCCCATGAGTACATACTTTATCATCCAAATCAAGAGATGGGAATGGATCGATGGAATTTAGAAATTCCACCAACAGAGCGATATCTACTCGAAGGCGGTCGCGTCTGACCCTCTCTCCATAATAACATGCAGGTCTCACGGCCTAAATGGAGCAGCTCACTGGAGCAAAATTGGGGTTCAAGCAGAAAATGTTCTATGATGGTCTCCACTGCAAGTGCTCACTGGCTTTGTTCCGTTGAGAATATCGCGGATCGAACCGGGGCAATAAACGAGTCTCCTTCTCTCAAGCATCTGTTGGTAAGACCTCACCATCAACACAATAGTATTTCCTGGTGAGTGGCCTACCGAGAGCTCACATTTCATGCCCATCAAAGATACATCTGTAACAAACCTGAAGTTACCTTTTGAAACGGGGAATAAGAAATAAGTAAGAGAGAGAGGGAATATGGTCCAAAAAAAAGATGTAGTATTGAGATGGGTGGCAAAGCTCATGATTGACTGGCTGATGAATTTTGCTGAGAATTGTGACGACATTAAACTCCAATCAAGTAACAAAAAATCACGAGCGCAGAACAAAATGGGGAAAACCACGAGCTTTTTCACGCCACATAAACTCACCCCATCCTATTGAAAAAAATGGAAGCATGAATTAAATAAAAAATGGCAGCAGCAAGAGCTAGAATTGGGTCGTCCAGTTTTCCTTGAAGTGAACAAACCGGACATCAGATATATGAAGTTGGATAATAAGAGCTCAAGGGAGAAAAAGACATTTCTAATGGTTGAAACATGGAAAAAAATGCAAGCACAGCCACCTGTTAAGGACTTCATGGGTAATAGCTCCATTGATAGACAGGAACGAAAATTCAGTCCGGCACTCGGTTCTTACAGTAATCCGGCACGTGTTAATACGCATATTTTTACC